AATCACCCACTTCCAATCCTCCTGCGTCCAGTCGGCATGCGACCTCGCGAAATCGAGACGATCACGTATGTTTTTCGGTGAGAGCCTGTGTTTCTTGGGCTGCTGCACGGCGATCAAGCCCGCGGATCGTAACGAGTTCCTGACCGTCTTCGAGTCAACAGCCAGACCGTGCTTCTCCTGCAATATCTTTGCGGCGTCTACACTGCTTTTCGCCTTGCCGCTTGTAATCGCTCGAACTATTCCGCGCTGAAGTCTGGTTGAGATTAAGCGGGGCGGCCGGCCGTGGGCATCGTGGGTCGCACCTCATCGCGACTAGTCTTGGCAATCACCTTCAAACCGCAATCGTGCACGGTGCTCTTGCCTATGCCAAGAACTTTGGCTATTTTCCTAGTCGAATGCCCTTTGCGCAACATGCTTATGATTCGCGCGCGCTTCTTGTCATCTACCGGCTTCATGGCGATGTGGTCGTAGGTTCGTTTCAGGACTAACTCCTAGACTAGCAGCTGTTGCGCGTGACAATGTGCACACCGAGTGACGGGCGAAAATAGATCTAGTCTGTCGCTCGGTATGAACTGTCCGCATCGACAGCCGAGGAGTAAATCTCAACCCCGCTTTCCAGTTGTGTCACAATCGCGCCAAGCAAGAAACGATTGAAGCAGAACTCGAAAACCTTGTAATAGGACGGGAAAAAAATGGTGTTACTATTTTCGAAACAAGTGTTGCATAGCGATATGTTTCAAAGTGCTAAACACCCGGGCAATTTTTTCCGCCACTGTAACCACAGAACCGATCTGGACCGAAAACAGCAAAATCTACATGCGACATTGAGAAATTGAACACGTGACGCACATTTCGTAACTGCAGAAATGTGCGTAACGTCTGACAGTTTCATATATGAAACTGTTAAAACAACTACTTCTAAGTGGGTAAAAATTACCAACTAAGCATGTGCTGTAATTCTCACCTGCCATTGCTGACTTGGCTAAGCGCAGCTTAGAGTAGTTATGTAAACGTTATCGTGCAATCGTTCTCTCTGTGATCAATGAGGTTCAATGGGGTAGTCCTAGTGCTTGCCTTGTGTACCATACTTCATACTCTTGATTCTAGTGAATTGGTGTGCCCAAGCTTTCTCAAGCTACTCAGTGAAACACACAAAACTGAAGGCAACTCTCTCCTTAGAGAACCACGGAGCTAGAGAGCTCTATCTGCGTTAGGCACTTCCGCAGAAGCTCCCGTTATAGCAGAAAACTCTACACACAGGTACTGTAATAAGTTGCAATGGACTTCAACTCTAAAGAGGAAAGATAAATGACATACCTTGTAAGCAAGTAGGAGCCGCGGATAGCAGGGGACGAGGCACAGAATGAGGGAGGATAGGCGCAAATGGAGGGGAAGCAGCACGCGGATTGGAGGGTAGGAGGTACGCGAAGGGGAACGCGCGCGAAACAAGGGGTATGGCACGCGCGGAATAGGATGGGAGGCGCACAACTGGTCAAAGGTAGAAACTGCTAAGAAAACTAGGAAAACAGAGATAGTACCTGAAAGGGATTCAGATCTAGAAGACTGCCGGAGATTGCCAAAGGAAGGAGCGAACGACAGAAAAAAACCGAAATTGCGAGCCTACTACTAGGAGCTTGCTAGGGGATTTGTTAGGTAGGGGAGAATGTAGACCTGGCAAATTGTCGAGATGGAGGCTTCCAAGGGGTTGAGGAAGCCAAGTCTACTCTGGGCCGCGTTCAATTTAGAACTTCAACTCCAAAGTTCTCCCAAACTAAAATTTTGACGAAACGTAGTTTGAAATGGCCTCAGAAACATGCTAAGCTACATATTTTGCAGCGCCAAGGGCAGCTTCCCTACATTGCCGAAGGCTGTTCACGTTGCTTTCAGTGAAATCACAAAAATTGTGTCCCAAAAATATGCATTGTGTTATATGTACTAACGCAACCCTTCCGGCGCCAAACGTCGAACCTTGTTTAAGTTACTCATCAAAAGGGACGGATTGTTTATTCTATTTGAGCATTGTATCTTACAGTGCACCAACGCACATGCTTCCTTTTTCCAAGTTACGGCATAGCCGCCCCCAGGAGTTCTGAACAACTCAATATATTTTCCCCCATTTATGTGTAACCTGGCATAAACCTTTAGTACTATTCATAACATGTTTTAGCCTTACCGTCCTCTGGTAAAGGCAGTATCTGGAACGACCAAGAAGTGTCCGTAGGATCTTCAGGTGTGAGCCTTTTCGGAAGCGTTTGATTGGTCGAGAACTCTGTCAGAGAGAATGTAACTTAATATAATTGATTTTAGCAAAGAGATATATAGTTTATATAGTGAAAAGGAGAATATAAAGGGTCTAACTAAGATGCACGTAGTAGGGGTACATTCCCTTAAGGTTTCATATCCGACTCGGGTAACCGCATACAACTCGGGTAACTGCCCATGCTGAATTGCAGGGTCAATTATGTGTCGTTGTTGTCGTGTCGGACCCTTGATAGTCAGTTCGATTGTCAGTCAACGATCAACAACCATTGCACTTCATGATTCATCATAGTTGTGACCTCGACAAAGGGTTACTGCTGGAGTGTCACTTTCAAGAATGTAAGAAGTAATTCCCAAGGTACTTGAACTTGGTGCGCTTAGAGATTCCGCAAAGCTCGGCGCAGTGCTGGTACTGTCGTCGTGGAAGCTTCTTGGTGAGGAGGTCAGCTGCCATGTCACCAGTAGGACAGTACTGGTCGAAGTCGGGGACTGCGCAGCAGCCGTGGGGGCCGACGGGCCCTGGGGGTGGTGGTCGTGGTGGAGGACGTGGGGGTTGGGGCCCAAGGCAGTTGGTGCCTTGTGAGTCAGTGTACTGGTGCTTCCGGTGGCACGGTGACTTGCACGTACCAGGTGCTGACTGGCCCGCAGACAGGCCAGGTGTGTGGGCACGTGGGGCACATTGCCGCTCGCTGCTTCCACCGCCTGGACAACCTCTACCGTTGTCAGTTCAGTCCGCTCATACAGGTACCCCCTTGGCCTGTCTTGCTTCGTCGTGGGGTTCATATCTTTGATATGGATATGATTCAGATCGATCATGCCTTGTATTCTCCGTATTCTAATGCTTCTAGTGTTGCTGGTTCTTATTTTCCTGCTGTTTGTAGCCTTGGAGCTAATGCTGTGTGTAGTCTAGGATCCCCTTCTACGTCAGGCGTAGACTCTCCTGATGCGTCACGCGTAGGACCTGTTAGAGACTCTTCACTGGGCCCCGCCACATTGGCCCTCTCCTTTGTCCTAGACTCTGGCGCGTCTCGGTGCTTTTTTTGAGACAAAACTGCTCTCACCCCGCTTCCTGCACCTGTCCGCGTTGCACTAGCAGTCTCCTCCGCCATAGCTGTCGCGCGTCGCACCACCACTCTCCCATATCCAGCTGTCCCTTCTAGCTCCCTCACCTGTCTGCACATCCCCTCATTTGCCAGGAACCTAGTGGGTGTCGGTCACCTCCAAAACTGAGGCGTCACCACTACGTTCCCTGGCTGCGAGAGACGCGCCGCTTGCACAGACACAGCCACCGGTCAACACTTAGCCACTTTTGAGCGTGACCCTGGGTCAGGTCTCTTTACACTGCACACAGGTCAACCTAGTCGGTGCCGGCTGCTGCGTCTGCCGAGGTCGTCGAGTCCTACTCCTGCCGCTCACTAGCCCACCCGACCATTCAATGGCACCACCGCTTAGGTCACCCTGCACTCCCGCGTCTTACGCACATGTCCCAGCACGGTCTAGTCACTAGTCTCCCATCTTCACTCCCCGCCTTGCCTCCCTCGGTAGTGCCACTGTGCATCTCCTGCATTGAGGGCCGGCAGCGCGCCGCTCCTCACTCCTCCTCGTTTCCTCCTACCACAGCACCACTACAGACACCGCACATGGACATCTGGGGCCCTGCCTCGATCCATGGTCTTAGTCGGGAGCGCTACTTCCTAGTCGTTGTTGACGACTTCTCTCGCTTCACCGCAGTGTTCCCGTCGGAGCAGAAGGGCGACGTGCCTACCGTTCTCCTCCCGTGGCTTCTCACTGTTCGCACCCACCACCGCCTGCCTGTAGGTCGCTTACACTCTGACCGAGGTGGCGAGTTCGCCTCTGGCACTCTAGGATGGTTCTGTCTTGCGGAGGGCATCCGCCAGTCGTACACACTGTCAGACTCCCCATGACAGAATGGGGTCGCTGAGAGATGCATCGGCTTGATCATGGAGGTAGCTCACACCTCCATGGTCCACGCCAATGCACCCCATTTTATGTGGCCGTTCGCCGTGCGCTACGCTGCTCACTAGCTTAACCTGTGGCCGCACTCCCAGCAGCCACAAGTTTCGCCGACCCTCTTCTGGACTGGGTCTCCTGGTGACGCGTCTGCGTTCCACGTCTGGGGCAGCCTTGCTCACGTTTGCGACACTCGCGTGGACAAGCTCTCAGCTCGCACCCTTCCTCGTGTCTTCCTGAGGTTTCCGCTTGACGCCTCTACAGGCTGTTCTACCACCCGTCACACCACCGCTTTTACCTCTCTCGTAACGTTACCTTCGACGAGAAGCTCCCCTACTAATGGCGGTTCCCACACTGCAGTGCTCTTGTGCCTCCTCCTCCTCTCTTCCTTGTCCCTTCCCAGCCTGCCGCTCCCATCCCTCCCCGCCTAGCCCATTCCGGTGTCTCCCACGCCACTCAGTTCCTCCCGGTTGCGCCTGTGGGGGAGTCGGCTGACTTTGGGGGCTCAGCTGTTAGGGGCACGCCTACTCACCCTGTGGTGCCTCCCCCAACCTCGGTACCCCAATCACCTCAACCGCCTCCCCCCTTGCCGCAGCAGCAGCAGCCGCCACAGCAGCCTCAGCGGCCGCAGTAGGGAGCAGTGGGTTCTAGGGGTGCTGGTTTTGGAGGTGTTGGAATTGGGGGTGTTGGTTCTGAGGGTGCAAGTCCTGGGGGTGCTGACTTTGAGGGTACAGGTTCTGTGGGTGGCGCGTTCGAGGGTGATAGTCTCTCTCTCTCTCCCTCACTCTCTCTCTCTCTCACTCTCCCTCTCGCTCTCTTCTCTCTCCCTCTATCTCTCTTTCTCTCTCTTTCTTGCCCTCTCTCCCACTTTCTCTCTCTCTCTCTCTCTCTCTCTCTCTCTCTCTCTCTCTCTCTCTCTCTCTCTCTCTCTCTCTCTCTCTCTCCCTCTCTCTCTCTTTCTCTCTCTCACTTTCTCTCTCTCTCTCTCTCTCTCTCTCTCTCTCTCTCTCTCTCTCTCTCTCTCTCTCTCTCTCTCTCTCTCTCTCTCTCTCTCTCTCTCTCTTTCTCTCTCTTGCTCGCTTGCACCATCTTTCTCTTGCGAAGCATCGCATGTTCTAGTAAGCCAAATCCCTCCAATGGCTTGTCAAATAACATGTGATGGAACGGAAGCTAGGCTAGTTATGTGCCTCGCGCTAGACATTGTAGGCCCAACATAGTGTTTGGCTTCGTGTGCCCTGACGTGGCCGCACCCGTTTTTTAGTCGTGCCTTCTTCTGGTTTAGGCTTGGATGGCAAGGATACCCAAGATAGGTTCATAGGCTCCAAAGACGGAGCTGCCTTGTGGGGTCCCAAGGCATTGTGAGGCCTTTTTTTTTTTTTTTTTTTTTTTTTTTTTTTTCAGATTGGGGTTCTCAATGTTATTTTAAGAAAGGAGATCAACAGGAATTGAAAAAGCTTGGCCCATGAGCTTCGAGTCTCGAGCCTTGGCCACTATCCAACAAGGATTCTAGCTTGTCAAAAAAAAAAAGAAAAAAAAGTGATGAAACGAAAAGAACCGGCACCTCCAAGGGTGCCACTACGAGGTAGGTCAAAAAATGTTTACCCCCCCTTGGGGCTTGGCCAGCGGCCTATACTCATACCCTCTATCGGGTTTGGCCAGCGGCCTTTGCATTCTACTTCCCAGCAAGGGAATGGCCAGCGGCCCTAAGCACCCCATGGTGCGGTGGTACCTACTCCGAAGTCCACAAAACAATCCTCATACTTTTCACACAACGGGTGCGGGCCCTTATGGCCCGCTCCCATTTCCGGTGCAGTTGTTCGCCGTGTGGCCCGGCTGGCCACAGCGAAAGCAAGCGCCTCGGAAGCCCCTCTGGGCGCCGCTCGGTGGAGGGTCAAACTTCCCTCCAAAGCCCATAGGGCCGCGGCCTCCAACGGGATGGCCGCGACCATAGGAGCCTTGCGCGCGTTTCATTGCCGCAACGTCTGCAACTGCTTGCTTGAAGGTTCGTGAGGTGAGGACACTCTTCTCTTGGTAGAGCTTGAAGCGGTGTGCCGTCTTGAAGTCGGAGGCGTCGGCGACTTGGAGGAGCTCGAAGCGCTTGGCGATGAGCGCGTATGCCGCCTCGAAGTATTCAAGCGAGCTCGATGTGTCGCCGTGGCGCACCTTGTGTTCCGCGTGCTTCAGGTACGCTCGCAGGTCTTCTAGGAACTCGGCTTGCTCGCGTACCCCAGCGTTGTTGAACGATGATGCAGGGATGGTTGGGTTAGAGAAAGGAAGAGGTGGGAGGTGCTCGGTGGGTGCGAAAAAAATTGCGTGTGTATGAGCCTCACCAGCCTCGTTGTCGGAGTCACTGTCTTCCTTGGCATTGTCTTGCGTGGCAGCGGCGAGCTCCTTCTCGACGCGGGCGGTCTTGGAAGGACGAACGTGACGCGCCGACTCCTTTTTTGCATCTTCAATTTTAGTCGAGGCAGAAAATGTAGTCGCAGCTGCTGTAACCGCGGGTGTGTTTTGCTGTAACAGCGCCAGCAGTGCCGCCACTTGCTCGTTGGTCAAAGCAGGGGCGGCAGGTGTTGGCGCGCTGGACGAGGCCGCCCCGCGGCCTTGCTTGTTCTGACGCGCGGGGCCTGCCCTGCCGTTCGGCGCCTTCTGCGCGCTGGCGTCAGCAGGAGACGCGCCATCCGCAGCGTGCGTCTCCTGCTGCTCGCCGACGCGTGGCCCACCAAGCTCAACTCGGTGGACCTCGCCACTGCGCAGCAACACGTCGAGGGCAGAAGAGGCGAGGTCGCCCTCTGCCCGACACTTGTTGCCGCGATCACTTGCCATTTCACGGGCGTTTTTCTCGGGTTCCGAATTATTCGGAGTGTCAACGGGCGGATTTTTCAGCACGATTGGCCAGGGTGCTAGGAGGGGCCATGGCTGCCTGGTTATGCGTCAGGATATCTGCGAGAAGTTGGGAGGGTGCTTCCCTGCGAGGGAGAGTTTTCAACTTCCCCAGAGTGGCGGAGCGAAAAAAGCGGGATGGGAACTCAATTGAAATTGAGCTGGGAAAAATGAAAAACGTGGGTGGAGGAAGAATGACCTCCAACCCCATTATATGGTTGGAGAAGGGTGAATAGCGCGCTTTGATGATGCCTTATATTGCGTTACAAGCAGCTTCGCATTCGCAATACACAATTTTGAAAGTGTGAACACTTTAAAATTTTATATATTGTCGATCTAGTGGTGGTCGTCGCGTTTTGTGTCGATTGGAAAGGTAAGCATGCCCTACTACTTTTTGCCGCCGTAATTAACGATGGTTGAATAGAATGACGGTGTGTCAACTTTTACATCATCACAAAATTCTTGCTGCCATGATCTGAGATTTGCCGTATATGACAAATCTGCATACAAAGAAAGTGAACAGCATGTCAAAATGAGTTAGGAGCCTAAGTAGGCATAAGACATGTCGAGGTTTTAGCTAGGGAGGGAAGTTGATGAGAGGAAAAAGGGGGTTGGACTAGGAAGAGAGAGAGATACAAAGGATGGTAATACCCTCTACAGTAGGATGCACAGTCTGTAGAAGACCTACTCAGCCTACATAACTTTATAAATAAAAGATATAATTTTAACACACCCCCTAGGCTTGGTAGTCGCAAGCCCACCCAACTTGCAACACCCCCAAGCCCGTGCACCCCCATGCCCTGCAGAAGGTGTGGCTTCTGATGTGATAAAATCGTATTTAAGCATTTCTGTAAGTAGTTCCGATAGATATTGTCGAGTTACACTGTAGTTAGCATCCGTAGAATGACGTCATCAAATAGCGCTCGTCTGGATGGTTACGTCAGCAAGCCATTTCAGTCACGCGAACAATCGCGCTCTTTTCAGTAGCGGTTAGAGCGCATAACGCAAATAGCTCGAACAGGTACATCACCGAATAGGTACTTCTAGCAAATATAAAAGTAGCTTGTACAACTTCAATTGTTAACTTGTTCTTCAGTAAATTCTGGTCAGCACTTAACAAGTTCTAAGACTTCCGCTGTCTTACTAGTCTACCATTCCAGCAAAGATCCTTGGTGAAGTCTTGAAGTATCGCAAGGCTGTAACACTGACTCTGGTGTTACAAATTGTTAATACTGGCTGTTACTGGAGGTACTTCCGATATTACTTTCTACTTCAAGTACTTGTGTCTGCAGATTCTATACTTAGTCTCCTGCACCACCTTTCAAATTCTTTCAGCTTGGACCCCTCATGCAAAGCGGCGACAGCGGTGGCGGGTGGCAGCAACAGCGTCAGCGGCGGCTTCTACGACGACGACTGTGGCAGTGGTGGCGGCGGCGGCTTCGACGACGGCGGCGGCGACTGCGAAGCTCGAGGCACCCGGCATCATGGAACGGCCCGTCGACGACTGGGTATTAAGTCTGAGCTATGGCTGGAGTAAGGGGAGACGCAGGGGGGGGTTGGGGGGGGGGGGGGGGGAGGGGGGTGCAGCAAGGCGCCCGCACTGGCGCACTGGCTGGCGTGTTGGCATTCTGGCTGGCGCCAAAACCAGTCCGCGGCCCGCTGACGCTCGTGCGCTGACGCGTCGACGCCGCCACGGTGGCACGACGAAGCTGCGACAACGTGGCGTCGATGCCACGGCAGCGCGTTGAGGCTGCCACGGCAGCACGACGAAGTCACCATGGCAGCACGACATGGCCGCCACGGCGGCGCGAAAGTGACAGGAGGGGGGAGAGTACACTGCAGAAGCATGATGAGATGGCCCAGCAGGATGGACCTCCTACTCTGAGACCATGCCAAAATGGGTTATGAGCCTAAGTAAGCATGAGACCACGGTCCTTGCTAACTTTTGGGCCTGTCTGATATTCAGGCCTCTTTTTTTTTTGCCTTCGTCAGACAACCTGATGAAAAAATTGCACGTCTGATTTTCAGATGAAATGAATTGATGTGTCGCAGAACTGTAGTATATTGCACTACGTACTTTATTTCAATTCTCCGTACATTCACACGCCTCATGAAGTCATACTTCTCGTGGGGGGGGGGGATTTTTCACGCTAGCTGATGTGTCGAAGGGATTTCTCCACCCTTGCTGATGTGCCCTGGCACGCTTGATGGGCTGGAAGGAGGAATTTTTGCGGGCGCAGAATTTTTGCTAGAAGGGCTGGAAGGATGCCCTGGCTGGAAGGAATTCTCGCTCGATGGGCTGGAAGGAATTTTTGCTAGAAGGGCTGGAAGGATGCCCTGGCCGGAAGGAATCCAGCCCATCAGCCAGGGCATCCTTCCAGCCAGGACTGTTGCGGGCGCAGAATTTTTGCTAACATTTCGAGACACCACTCCCACAATCCTGTCAACTTATACATATGTTGCTATGTAGAAGTTATAAGCTAGATAGTTGTATGTTGTTAGAGGGTACAACCAAAAAACATATATCCCTCCTTGTTCACTTGTATGATTCATACTTTCTAGTTAACATGGTATCATCAGTAGGTAGGTCAACCCACCCGATTCCGCCCCGCGCCCTAGCCTACCGCGCCTCGCCTGCCCCCCGCGCCCTAGCTGGCTTCTCGCGCCTTAGCGGGCCCCTCGCGCCCTAGTCGGCCCCTCGAGCTGTAGCCGGCCCCTCGCCTTGTCGTCGGCCCCTCGCGCCCCTACTGGCCCCTTGCGCCCCTACCGGCCCCTCGTGCCCTAGCTGGCCCCTCACGCCCACGCTAGCCCCTCGCGCCCCTACCGCCCCTCGCGCCCTAGCTGGCCCCTCGAGCCCACGCTGGCCCCTTGCGGTTTCGCCGGCCCCTTGTGCCCGAGCCGGCCCCTCGCGCCCTCGCTGGCCCCTTGCGCCCTAGCTGGCTCCTAGCACCCTAGCCAGCCCCTCGCGCCCTCGCTGGCCCCTCACGCCTTCGCCGGCCCCCCTTTGTGCCCTAGCCAGCCCATCGCGCCCTCGCTGGCCCCTTGCACCCTAGCTGGCCCCTACCGCCCCGGGCTGGCCCCTCATGCCCTCGCTGGCCCCTTGCGCCCTAGCTGGCCCCTAGCGCCCTCGTCGCCCCCTCGCGCCCTAGCTGGCTCTTCACACCCCGGCTCCTGACGCGCTCTCCTGGCCCCTAGCGCTTCGCCGGCCCCATTTGTCCCACCGGCCCAGCACACCTCCGGCCCTCCTCAGCCACCTGCCCTGCTTCCACCATTGGATCGCCCCTCCGCTGAGCCGCTGAGCCGCTGTGTCGTTGTGCCGCCATGCACTCGAGCCGCTGCGCCTCCATGCAGCTGAACCACTGAGCCGCCGAGCCGCAGAGCCATCGTGTAGCTGTGTTGCTGCGCCGCCGAGCTGCTGTGCCGCTGTCACACTGTGCGATGGCGGACGTTGTTTTCGCTTCGACGCTGAGGGGCACCCGATCGACTTCCCCGCCTGGCTCGTCGACCTCCGCCAGCACCTGACAGGTCAGCGCCAGGATGGACACTCCCTGGCTATGCATGTTGATGGCTTGCTCCTCCGCCCCCTTGCGCCTGATCCCCTCCCTGCTGACCCCACCACTGCTGAGAACGAGGCCTTTGCTGCTGATGCGCTCGCTCGCGCTATCTGGGATTCTCGCGACGCCATAGCGCAGCTTGCCATTAGTCATGCCCTTCCCCTGTCAGAGCGTCTGTGCTTTACCGCTGTCACGAACGCCCAGGACTTCTTGGCTGCACTAGTTGCACGTTACTCCACGCCTGCTTCCGCCTCTGCAGGCCGCTTAATCCTACCGATGCTCTTCCCTGATCTTTCCATTTTTCCTACTATAGCTAACCTCGCTACCCACCTCTGTGCGGTAGAGACTAGCTACCGTGCTACTAGCACTGCCGCCCAGCTCACTACCTTCCCCCCACAATTCTGTGCTACCTTGTACCTCATTGCCATGCGTCTTCCTAGCCGCTTAGCCACTGCCCGTGACCACTTCCTTAGTCAGCACCCTGCCGACCTCACCCTGACCACCTTTTTCACTGCTCTGTCTGAGATAGAGACTTGCCAGCGCACAATCGCTCAGTCGAGCGGTGTCACGGCAGTCCCTATTTTTCAGGGCTGTGCTCCCTCCCACTGCACGTATGCAAACGTCTCAGCCCCAGTTGTCACAGGATCGAATGTGTCGAGGAAAGGTTCCACTATCGATCAGTACAAGGCGCTTTTATACTTCCAGAGTACATCAAGTAACCAGGTTTATCCTATCTAAAGGAATAGACCCTTCTAGAAGATAGAATCACCCTGCGTATAGCCACGCGAGGCTATTGGCTTTAAGAGATTACGACAGGATTACGCTAGATAGCGTGTCTAGAACATTCCATGCTTGGTCGGTGATATAATTATAATAAGGGAAGAAACCAAAGGATAATGGAAAATGGGGAATATGAGGCAAAAGGAGATGAGATAAAAAGAGGAATGAAATGAAGATGAAATATGGAAAAGGCCAAGTGGTGTAACGGAGTCGTACTCTCACACTTCCCCCCCTCAAAGCTGGGTGGTAGAAGTAACACCCTGCTTGACAAGGTAGTCATGCAGAGGACGACGGGCGTTACCCATGTCGGTCTCAGAGACCCAGCTGTCCTCAGAAGGATCATAGCCCTTCCAACGAATAAGAAGCTCCACGGTGCCATTCCGACGACGGCGGTGTGCAAGCACGGACTCGACCTCGTACTCGGGTTCATTTTGGACGAGGACGGGTGGCGGCGGCGGCGGTTGGCGTCCGACGAAGATCGTATTAGGATCTCGATAGGGCTTCAGAAGTTGGACATGGAAGGCGTTGTGAATCTTCCAGGTAGCTGGTAGGCGTAAGCGGAAGGTAACAGGAGTGACCTGTGCTTCAACGAGAAAAGGCCCGCAGAAGCGAGGTCGAAGTTTAGATGGGAGATGGCTGATGTCCAGGTTGCGGGTGTCAAGGAGAACCTGGTCTCCCACGGAAATGGTGTGGTCGTTGCGATGGCGATCGGTCTGGCGCTTCTGTTGCTGTTGAATGTCAAGGAGGCGCTTATGGGTCCGATCCCAAAGCTGATGCATGGTTGTGATGAAGTCGTGTGCAGGTTGGACTGTTGCTGGTGTTGTCGGTTTCTGTGGTGTGAGTGGGTGGCGTCCGTAGCAGAGGAAGAACGGCGTCTGTCCCGTAGCGGCGTGTGTAGCGTTGTTGTAGGCAAACTCCAGGACGGGTAGGTGCAAGTCCCATTTGGAGATGTCGTCCTTGCAGGCTGCTCGGAGGAGTTGCTCAACAATTTGGTTGAGGCGCTCGGTCTGACCGTCTGTCTGCGGATGGTATGCGGATGACATGGCGAGTTTGGTGCCGAGCAGAGACATAAGTTCCTTCCAGAACTTGCTAGTGAACTTGGGGTCTCGGTCGGAGATGAGTGTAGTTGGGATGCCATGCTGTGAGATGATGTGACGAACGAAGAGCTGTGCTGTCTCCTCGGTGCGTGCCGTCGTGTGTGTCGGGATGAAGTGTCCCATTTTGGAGAACTTGTCAATGACGACAAGGATGGCGTCATGACCGCTGGAGGTAGGTGGTAACCCGGTGATGAAGTCTAGGCTAACCACTTGCCATGGTTGTTCTGGGACAGGAAGAGGCTGCAGTAGTCCCGCCTTTTTCTGCTTGCTGCTCTTCATCCGCTGACATGTATCACACGAGGTGACGAATTTCTGGACGTCGTCTGCCATATGGGGCCAGTAGTAGTGTTTGGCGATACCGGTCAGCGTCTTGTTGCTACCGAAGTGTCCGGCGTAGAGGACGTCGTGGTATTCTTCGAGTAGTAACTGGCGCAAAGGAGGGTAATTGGGTACCCAGATTTTTGTGGATCCCTTCCGGTACGCGATGTCACTGTCCCACTGTAGCAGATGTCGCTTTTCTGTCAAGGGAATTTCGGGGTCGATGGCGTACCCGTGTGTGAAGAGTCCCTTGAGTAGTGGATTCATCCCTTCGATCTGAATCGCGGGCAACGTGTGCAGGCCGGCTGAGCGCGTCTGCTTTGTTCTTGTGGCCGGGCTTGTACACGATGTCGTAGTGGAAGTGTGTCTCGAGGAAGTCGATCCACCGGACCTGCCGCCTGGAAAGGTTGGGTTGTGTCTTCAAATATTTCAGGCTGCAGTGGTCGGTGTAGACGGTTGTTCTTCGTCCTTCGAGATAGCATCTCCACGCTTTGAAGGCGATGATGATAGCAAGAGCCTCTTTGTCGTGTATCGGGTAGTTGAGTTCTGCCCCGTGCAGTTTCTTGCTGAGGTAGGCAATGGGTTGCAGTCCATTCCCTTGGTCTTGCATCAAGACTGCACCCACGGCCTGATCACTGGCATCTGCTTCAATGACGTAGTCACGTTCGGGATCTGGCAAGATGAGCACCGGTGCGGATGTTAGTGCTTGTTTCAGCTGCTCCACGGCTTCCTGGTGCTTCGTCTCCCATTTGTAGGGCATGTTCTTCTTCAACAGATTCGTGAGTGGTGCCGCGAGTTTCGCATACTGTGGCACGATCCTGTTGTAGTAATTAGCGAAGCCTAGGAACTGCTGCAACTCCTTCACGTTCTCGGGTGTCTTCCACGTACGTACGGCTTCGATTTTCTTGGGGTCGACGTGAACTCCTTGAGCGCTCACCATGTGTCCTAGAAATTGGACCTTTTCTAGGGCGAATTCGCTCTTGGACAGTTTGACGTAGAATCGTTCTCGTCGAAGAATTTCGAAGACGCGTCGTAGGTGTTCGACGTGCTGCTTCATGTCGCGCGAGTAGATGAGAATGTCGTCCAGGTACACCACCACGCACTCGTCCAGAAGTGGTCGTAGAATGTGGTTCATTTCGGCTTGGAACGTTGCCGGTGCGTTGGTGAGTCCGAACGGCATTACCAGATACTCGTACGATCCGTACCGAGTTCGGAAAGCAGTTTTGTGGATAGAGTTGTCCGCCATCCGTATCTGCCAGTATCCGGACCGCAGATCCAGTTTGGAAAATACCGTAGCTCCCCGAAGCTGGTCAAGCAGGTCATCGATTCGCGGTATCGGATATTTATTCTTGATGGTCTGCTTGTTAAGAGCTCGGTAGTCGATGCACATGCGCAGGCTTCCGTCCGGTTTCGGTGTGAAGAGTACTGGGGCACCGTACGGTGAAGTAGATGGCCGGATGAGTCCTTTGGCTAGAAGATATTCGATCTGTTTTTTCATGTCAGTCAGCTCCGTAGGGCTGAGCTGATATGGTGCTCGGAAGGTCGGTTTCGAACCCGGTTCCTCCACGATCTCGTGTTGATGCGTTCGGTATGGCGGTAGCTCGTTCGGAAGATCGTCAGGAAGGATGTCTTGGAACTCCTTCAATAATTCTTTGATTGTTTCTGGAGTTTCCGAGGCTTTCTCTCCGTCATTCTCCACCTCTGTTGCTATCGCCAGGAACCCGGTGTCGGTCCGCTTCACGTCCTTCTCGAATCGTGCGAGTGTCTCCACTGGGATATCTCCAGTATCGTCCCAGTTGGGTAGCTGTACTCTCCGTCCATTGTTGTAGATGCTTGCGGTGCGGTTCACCCAGTTGATCTCGGGGTTGAATTTTTTCAGGAAGTCTCGCCCGAAGATCAAGTCAAGCCCTTTGATGTTGGTGATGGGGAGTGCAGGTCTCCAGCGCAGTGGTCCAATTTGTAGGTGTAGCACTGCTTCGCCGTGTACTGGTAACTTGCTGCCATCCACCATCGTTGCAGAGAATTTTGAAGGCTTGTACTCTTCTCGAAGTCGGTCGATTATTGCCTTGTCGCAGACGGTGTGTGACGCTCCGCTGTCCACGAGTGCTTGGAGGCGTCGTCCTTTGCAGATGACCTCGAGCACGAGAGGCGGGCGTTGCTCAGAGTACCCAAAGATAGTCTCATTAATGGGGTCGTAGGGTACATCCCAATAATCCGTACACACCTTTTCGTTGCTATCTGCTCCTGAGCTAGCAGCTGGCCGAGGCTTCTTGGAGAACGGCTCTTCTCCAGGGCCCGGAGTTTCCTTGACGACTGTGCGTGTCGTTGATGCCGAAGAACTGGATGCATCCGTAGAGGGAGTTCGGGGTTTTTGCAGCTTCTTGTAGACCCCCAACTTCCTCTTGAGCTGCTTCAGCTCCACCGACGTCTTCCCTGGGGAGCGGGTAGTCGTTGTGGGCTGGTGTCGGGAGATGACGTTGACTCCGTGGAAAGGTCGGCTTCTTTCCACACTCCTTAATTTGGTCCCCAAGTTGTCCGGTACCGGTATAATCTCCACAGCTGTCTGCTTCTTTTGGAGTCCCTCCCGAAATTTCTCCAAGGCTCTAGCTCCTCGAAAATCATAAGTTTTCATTAAAGCATCTTTATAGGATAGCTTTAACGAATTCTTATAATTTCTTGGGTCTTCAAGGAGTTTCCCCGTCTCGGCAGAGTCTTTTTTCGCGGAGTCTGATTTTTCCTCGGCGAATTTCCCTGGCGAAGACTGGTCGTGGGGTGGAGATTTTCCCCCATCATTTCTGTTGTGTGATGTCATCATATGCTATCACATTCTGTCTGCCTCCCATCCCATGTTTTTTCAACTTGCATGTGTGGTTTGAATGTGCAAGCATTTGTGTGTGGTGTGTTCTGGAGTTTGGGAATGTGTTTTGTGTTATTCTGTCTGAGCAGGTATTTGTGATGATAGATCTTGAGAAGATCTTTCCGACGCAACAAGAATCGCTTCAATCGGAGCAAGAACGCGAAAGCTATGAAGATTCAAAGTTCATGAGCTTGCGTTACAATTGCGGCGGTTACAAAGTGAAGTTGTGGGGTGACTCTATATGGAGTTGGGACCTTTGGGGGTTTGGGAAATTTGTCACTCACTGTAACAGCTGCAAATTGGTTGGGAACAACCAAGCTAGGTTGGCAAGGGTGGCCAACTTGGATGGATTGGTTGGGAAGGGACAAAGGTCAAAGTTGAGGTTCCTATAGGGAGGGAATCTTTGTGCTTATGGGGTTTCCTTGGTTGGGGACTCTCTTGGGACCTTCCCTCTCATCCCTCTCTTCCTATCCCAACCTTTCTCTTGCTCCTTCTAATTCCTTGTGAGATTCTTGAACTTTGATTGAACCTTTGAGATTGAGTTAAGTTCTCCTCCTACAGCTTACCCCCTAGTGCGTCGAAAGCCATAGCGTCGCGAATACTTTATCAATCAACATGATTCAAATTGGGAACGGTAGCTGAGATTAAGAGCTACAACATATCCAAGTTTCGCGACATTCCAACGGCTAGTTGTTTGTCGACGTCGTTTCTTGTGAAGACGACTTTTCTGTCCAGAATTTCGGATTTATATTTTGAGTAATTCTAGCTCCTAAGTTCACCTAGACTCCGTCCTTAATCCTAACAAGTGGTATCAGAGCGATATTAAGGACATTGAGAGGAGTCTACAGAAGTGTGAAGACCCTTCTAGACCCACCATGGCCTGTGGGTGTGCCTAAGTGGTGTTCTAAAGGTTGGATGTGTCTTCCGCTAAGGGGAAACTCTGCCGAAATTTCGTGGACGCCGACACTTGTGAAAATATCGAGGGAGCTGAGTGTGGACAGCAAAGGGGAGCTGAAATTCGTCATTTCTCAAGGAGAAGATGAATGAGAGAGGAGGAGATGCTAATGGAAGAGGAGCTGTAGCTGAGAAGACAAGTGAGCCGCCGCCATCAAAAGTTGAAGCTTTGGATGGCTCCAACTATGAGGAATGGAGCGGACGGATGAGGAGTGCCTTCAAACGCTACAAGCTCCTGAAGATTGCTGTTGGGGAAGAGAAGATGCCGGAAGAAGGCGAAGCACGTGAACGGTGGATTGAGAAAAGCACGGTGCTTTTCGACCTCATCCTTCAATCGGTCAACAAGGAGATGTTCGAGCACATCAAGGATCTTGTGGAAGCGGATGATTCGGGTCCAAGGGCGTGGAAACTACTACGCGATGTGATTCAGCCCAACACTCTCCTGATGGTGATCGTGCTCGAGAAGGAACTTGCTGCCATCTCCATGCGACCAGGGGACGATGTGAAGCCGGTCCTTGACAAGATCAAGGACACCTATGCAAGGATGGCAGCAGCGGGCAGCAGTGTATCTCAGCTGCAGCAGTGCACCAAGATCATCTCGGTGTTGGACAACTCTTGGGACAACCTCATCCCCACCCTCAACTCTCAGCAAGATCAATGGACACCTGAGTGGCTAAGGCAGCAGATTCTGCAGGAGGACTTCCGCAGACGCCATGTGGGAGGCGGTGCTGCCACTAAGACTGCTGAGGGGTATGGAGCTGCAGGGCGCAGCAGAGGAAGAGGGGGTTGGAGAGGCCGAGGCCGTGGGAGAAGCTTTGGCAGAGGTAGAGGCCGAGGTGACTATAATGAGGGGCATGGGAGCTCCAGTGGCAGGGGGAGTACCAGAATGGAGGGCACCTGCTGGTACTGCAAGAAGGTCGGGCATCCTTGGTTCAAGTGCTTCAGCAGGCTGGAGGGATGGTCACCTCCAGGCATGAAGCCGCCAAGTGGTGAACGCGCACAAGGTGGCGCTGTGCAAGGCTCAGGTGCACAAGGTGAAGGTGCACAAGGTAACGCCTATCCTGGGATGTATCTCATGGTTGAGGATGTGCATGGGCATGAGGGTGATGTGGGATCTGTCGGAAAGGTTGTGATGCACCCTCTCACGCACTGGGTGATTGATTCGGGTTGCACCAGTCACATGACTCCACGGGCAGATTTGCTTGATGAGGTAAAACCCCCTGGGAAGATTAAGTATGTGGCAGCAGCGTCAGGTGCTTTGCTCCCCGTGATTGGTGTTGGGAATGCCAAGGTTAAGGGAGCTAATGGGGAGCTTGTGGGGCTTGGGAATGTTCTGCTGGTTGAAGGCTTGTCTGCTAACCTTCTCTCTGTGCGACGACTGCAGAAGAGCAAGGCCGAAGTGACCTTTGGACCAACCAGCTGCCGTGCTAAGCTTGGGAAGAAGGTGCTGTGGAGTCTGGAAGAGGAGACCAGCTGCATCAAGGACCTGTGGCAGCTGCCCATCATCCCATGGAATGGGAAGACTCCAACAGCAGCAACGGCAGCAGCGGCAAAGGCAACAGCAGGAGGAGATGCAACTGCACCAACTGATGGGGTCCTGGAAGCAGTCAAGAAAGTGCAGCAGCAGCAGACACATGGTGAGGTGCTTGCTGGTGTGGATGCAAGTGCGGCATGGGCTAAGGCTTCACCAAGGAGTGGAGAGGCCGATTGGGAGACATGGCATGAGAGGCTGTGTCATGTGAACTTCCCTATGCTGCAGAAGTTGGTGAAGGATGGGAGCCTGAAGGGCTTGGAGGTGAAAGGGGGAGTGAAGGAGATTGGGAGCTGCCCTACATGCTTGGAGACCAAGTTCTCCAAGTTCCCCTTCAACAGCACTACAGGACCAGCCAAGACCCCACTTGCACTTGTGCATATGGATGTGGTGGGGCCCACAAGAGCCCCTTCCCTCTCAGGCAGCCGCTATTTCTTGACAATTGTGGATGACCACACTCGGGCAGTGTGGGTTTACCCTTTGAAGAGCAAGGGGGAGGTGGCAGCGGCTGTCCTTAAGGAGTGGATGCCGAGAGCTCAGAGGGAATGCGGACACAAGGTGAAGGTGATCCGTAGTGACAATGGTGGGGAGTTCATTGGAGCTGATTTTGAGGGGGAGTTGAAGAGGAAGGGGATCCAGCATCAACTGACAGTGCCCTACAACCCGCAGCAGAATGGCGTGGCTGAGAGGTTCAACAGGACCCTGCAGGAGGGGGCACGCACTCTCCTTGGGCGTGCAGGGCTACCTGATCCGTTTTGGGTGTCTGCACTGAGGCAGGTCGCCCTTGTGAAGAATAGAGTGCTGGCTACAGTTGGGGATAAGGAGTGGATCCCATATACCAAGTGGTATGGGAGTGCTCCAGCTGTGAATATGCTGAGGGCATTTGGGTGCATGGTAGTGTTTCATGTGCCTAAGGAGAAAAGAGGGAAGTTGGAGGCTTCTGGAAGATGGGGTGTGCACTTGGGGATTGCAAAGGATCACAAGGGGTGGCTGCTATGGGACTTGACCACCCAGAAGTTGACAGTGTCAAGGGATGTGAAGTTTCTTGAGTCCCTGTACTACAAGGAATGGAAGCAGCAGCAACAGAAGCTTCCATCTACACCGCTCATTGTGGAGGCAGATGAGGTGCAGCAGCCTTCAAGACAGGTGGAGGTTGCAGTGTCAGAGGAGGAGATGTCTGGGGTGACTGAGGAAGGGGGAGCAGCTGAAGTAGAGCAGCAGCAACAGCAACATGAGTCTCCACCTCGAGTTCCACACCCGCCTGAGCGACCTAGGAGGGATGTGCGCCCTCCTGTGAGGCTGACCTATGGGGGAAGAGGCAAGCCAAATGTGGTGCAGGCTGGGAGTGTGGTTGAGCAGATTGAGGAAGATGAGATCGCTCACTGCTACTGGGCACCAATCCCTGAGCCCAAGACTTGAGAGGAGGCCTTGAATGGACCAAATGGGGAGAAGTGGAAGGCGAGTGAGGATGAGGAGTTCGGGTCCCTAATTGAGAACGAGACATGGGACCTGTGTGACTTGCCTCCTGGAAAGAAGGCAATCACTTCCAAGATGATCTACAGGCACAAGTATGGACCTGAAGGGGAGCTGACCCGCTACAAGTCTAGGCTTGTGGCACGGGGGTTTCAGCAGACAAAGGGGAAGGACTATGATGAGGTGTTTGCTCCTGTGGGGAAAGGAACAACACTGAGGGTGCTGTTAGCGATAGCTGCACTCCTGGGATGGAAGATACGGCAGATGGACATTGTGACAATGAGTCCGCTGTGAAGCTCGCCAAGAATGCTTGTCTGCATGGGCTGACAAAACACATAAGGCCTAAGTGGCATTGGGTGAGGAGACTCCTTGATAAGGAGGTGCGGCTGGAGATAGTGAAGACCCATCAGCAGGCAGCAGATATTTTCACCAAGCGTCTGGCGGAGGCGGATCATTGGAAGGGCATGAAGCTTGCTGGGATGAGTGTGCATTGAGTATGCATGCTTGAGATGTTGGTATGGTGGATGATGGTTGGCAGCCAGAGGGGGAGATTGTTGTGTGATGTCATCATATGCTATCACATTCTGTCTGCCTCCCATCCCATGTTTTTTCAACTTGCATGTGTGGTTTGAATGTGCAAGCATTTGTGTGTGGTGTGTTCTGGAGTTTGGGAATGTGTTTTGTGTTATTCTGTCTGAGCAGGTATTTGTGATGATAGATCTTGAGAAGATCTTTCCGACGCAACAAGAATCGCTTCAATCGGAGCAAGAACGCGAAAGCTATGAAGATTCAAAGTTCATGAGCTTGCGTTACAATTGCGGCGGTTACAAAGTGAAGTTGTGGGGTGACTCTATATGGAGTTGGGACCTTTGGGGGTTTGGGAAATTTGTCACTCACTGTAACAGCTGCAAATTGGTTGGGAACAACCAAGCTAGGTTGGCAAGGGTGGCCAACTTGGATGGATTGGTTGGGAAGGGACAAAGGTCAAAGTTGAGGTTCCTATAGGGAGGGAATCTTTGTGCTTATGGGGTTTCCTTGGTTGGGGACTCTCTTGGGACCTTCCCTCTCATCCCTCTCTTCCTATCCCAACCTTTCTCTTGCTCCTTCTAATTCCTTGTGAGATTCTTGAACTTTGATTGAACCTTTGAGATTGAGTTAAGTTCTCCTCCTACAGCTTACCCCCTAGTGCGTCGAAAGCCATAGCGTCGCGAATACTTTATCAATCAACATGATTCAAATTGGGAACGGTAGCTGAGATTAAGAGCTACAACATATCCAAGTTTCGCGACATTCCAACGGCTAGTTGTTTGTCGACGTCGTTTCTTGTGAAGACGACTTTTCTGTCCAGAATTTCGGATTTATATTTTGAGTAATTCTAGCTCCTAAGTTCACCTAGACTCCGTCCTTAATCCTAACAATTTCCTCCTGCTCGCGTCGAATCAGCTTCGTCGAAGTTGATTTTCTCGGAATCCCGCGGCCGTTTCCGGATCTTTTTATTTTCGCCAGCTAGATCCGCAATCACTGGCGACTCCCGTTTTTTGTCTTCTGATTGGCCGGAAGATTTCCGCCACTGTTGCGTGCCCGATACTCTGCGCGTGCGGCCTTCATTTTGTTGCAGTCGAAGATTCGGTGGCC